AGAATTTGCAATTCTAAATGTAACAAACATAATTCTGTGAATTAAACATGTTGCATGTAATGCATTTTAATGTTTCTAATGACTTAAAACCCTCTTAAAACATTCCAATTCAGAAAAATTATATCAATATCCTATATAATAAAAGAGAAACATGCAAATTGACCATCCCTCTGGTATGCTCACCAGCCAATTAGGAGTTAGTATGCAAATTAACCAGACAAAGATGGCGGGCCTGTGGTCAGTGCACACGTACACAGGCGCCAAGTGGCTGGTGGCAGGCGTCCCACCTTGTCCTGGCTGCTCTGAGCCAGTGGGCAGCGTGTGCAGACATGGCCCAGCCTGCCCTGGTCACTTTGGGCAGGTGAGCAGCACATGCCGGCGTCCCACCCCGCCCAAGCCACTCCAGGCCTGTGGGCAGCACACGCAGAGAGCCTCTGGACAGGGGAGGCAGGCCGGCAGAGGGCGGCCTGTACTCCCCACATGGCGGCGGTGGCAGCCGTGAGCATGCCAAGCGGAGCCTGCTGGCTGAGCTGAAGTAGCGCCTGCAGGCCATCAGTGCCGAGAAGTGGCTGTGCCAGTCCCACCTCCTGGCCCAGAAGGTGCATGATCACAGGGACAGTCACTGTGGTGAGCCAGATTGACATCCTCCTGGCCACGCCATGGGGGTTTGCAGATCTGCGAAGCCACAGGCCTCCGGTGCGCACATCCTCTTCTTGCCCCCTGGCATGAGAACATCCCTCAGCGCGCTGTCACCCTTGCGTGTCTGCAAAAGTCCTGGACAAAGGCATGTGCAAGTTCCCCCTGCTCCTCCGCCGCACTTCCATCAACTCCAGCACGTCCCCTCCGGCATGCTCACGTCCTTTGGATAGTGTCTGGGTGTTCTGGGTGCTAAGGGTGGGCGCCTGTGAGATGACAATGAGGGCCAAGTGGTGATGCCCTGTTCCTGCAGAGGCCAGTGCAGTGAAGAGATCACCTCCGTGGGGCTAATGCAGGTGCTGAGGCAGGAGCAGGTGCAGACAGACACACCTGGTGGGCGCGGGCAGCCCTCGCTGAGGTGCCTTCGGTCAGTGTTCAAGATCAGGAACCCAGAGGAGGCGAGAAGTTCCGTCCTCTCAGTGAAATGGTGGGATAGTCGGGGTGACTGCAGAGGAGGAAGGTGCACTTTGGGTGCCGGCACCCATGAGCGAAGGCTGCCCTGAGCCTCGCTCGCTTGGGGCCTAGCGCACTCTTGCCGGGCAGAGGGTGACAGGACGTGCTTTTCCGAGTTAATGAGAGAAAACATTGATTCTCCTGCTGCCCACGAAGGTGGAAAGTGGAGTGGGGATACATGCGGGGAGTGAGCGAGGTTCCCTGTCTGGGGGTTCCAAATCTGCTATTGGTTCCTTTCACCACTGACTAGAGATATACAGGGTTTCCCCCCAAAATGTATACACACTTTGAATACCTACTAATTCCAATGGGTTTAAGCATGAAAAGAAAGAAACAACAATGGAGCTGTCATCTGTTAAAAGTGCGGGCACAAACCCGCAGTCGGACATTCCCCGAGGGGTCCCAGATTGGAGAGGGTGCAGGCCAGACTGAGGGGCCCCCTTCCCCCCACCCCCCTGCATGAATTTCCTGCACCGGGCCTCTAGTTTTTCTATAAGAACAAATTGAGTTCATGTCAAAATGTAGTTTAAAAATAAGAATTACTTTATTCACTGAGTGAATATGAATCTCTTAGGATTTGTTACTTAATAGCAACTTTCCCTGCATACCTGCATACCCACTTCTTCCCACAGGTATGCACACACGTACAAATTGGAAGAAAAAAAAAACAGAACTATTTTTTTTTTTTTTGTCAACTGCATGGCATATATTCACTCACAGAAAAGACATACCTAGTCAAATATTTTGGGGTGAGAAAGGCAGGTTTCTCCCACCCATTGAAAGAGGCTTTTTTTTAAATAAATATATATATATATATATATATATATTATCATGAATTTTTACATAATGCTGGAATAAATGGCATACTTTAATTGTTACACATAAAGGAAAAGAGTAATAAGTTGTTTAGAAAACAGTAACAGAATAATTACAGTAAATCAGTTTTACTTTTGACACATAATAGTTTCCAACTTGAAATTTCTTTGGTTTTTCTCTCATCCTCATTAGATGGCTAAGGAAAGAGACCTTCCTTTTAGCGCCCCCCCCCCCCAACAGCTGGACCATGATACCTTACACAAACAACTCTCTCCCCATGGAAACATGCAGTTTCATAAGGAGAGAACTCCTTTATCTTCTTCTTCCTAGGTCCCTCTCCTCTTTATCATCTTCTTTCCTTCTTCTCCTTGATAACTTGCTTAATGGCTTAGATAAAAGAAGAATATTAAATCCAGGAGGAGTCATGAGATACAGCAAAAATAAGAGAGTATTCCATTTAATTAAGATACTCCATTCTTGATGGATTACTCTAAAATAAATGTTTTGAAGTGGATTCTGCTTCTTATGTTCAAAGAAAACCCGATGAAGGCAAGGATTAGAGATGACATTTGAAAAGAGTTATGTATTTTTCAGCATTTGCATTTAAAATTATTTCAAATAAAATCTCAAATGTTTCCTGTAACATTTCTAAAAAAGTAACTGTGGGTTTGATTGGATGATAAACACATTGGCCATGCTGATCAAAATCAACTTACATTTGACAGCCATGTGCTATTAATTCATCCCTCCCATAATAACCAGTAGGTTTAATTAGATAAGACAAATCTATCTGAATGGATTTGGCTTTGGACTTGGACTAGAGAACTTTTATGAAAGTGATGGATATACTTACATTTCATTTTAAAATCTGTAAAACTAGGAGAAACTCTTTGTAGAAGACTGAAACATGAAACAAAGTATTTATCAACTAGAGGCCTGATGCACAAAATTCGTGCAAGAGTAGGCCTTCCTTCCCTTGGCTGCCGGCACCGGCTTCCCTCTGGCACCTGGGACCTGGGCTTCCCTCACAGCCCTGGCTTCCTCCAGAAGGTCGTTCGGAGGGACATCTGGTCTAATTAGCATATTAAGCTTTTATTATTATAGATATTTTAAAAGAAAAATACCAACCAATCATAAAGGCTAAAATTTACTATTTCTTCTCTTGTCTTCCATACAGCCTAGGAATCTAACACTTGAGTTGGTTTAGGATGGCAATGTACAGACAACCTTATGAGATAAATATGTCTTTATTTTCTTACAATCCAGCTCTATAAATATTGTTAGGCTACAAAAATTAAAACATAAGAAACCAGTTTCCATATTTTAATTTTTATTAACACCTAGGAAGGAACAATATGAGCTGTGCACAATGTACAACACCGTAGTAATGCAGTTTTATTTAACAGGTCAAACATACTGCATCTGTGGCTTACTTCATAGTAACACTGACTGGATTTCTCACACAAGAAATATATCTCCTCCACATGTGAAATCATGCTTCAACAATGAGATAATTTCAAATTACACAAAAATATTCATAAAAATCTACCTAGTGGGTGACAAATTATTACTGCCAATATTGGGATAACTGTCTCATAGTTTTATAAAATTCATAATCCTCAGATCTAAATACTTAATATTGATCATTGGTTAATACTACCTGACATATACTTAATACTGACAATTCCACAAAATATATTAGCATCAAATAATGAAACACCACTTAGAAATTTTTTGCAATAACGTTTCTTCTTTTGTGTGCAATTAAAAAACACTATTCCTTTGGAACTTAAGTGTAATTTAAAACTAGAGATTCAAGTTGACTGGTATCTCTCAACTTATAAGGTTAAAAAATATATATGCCATATATATATATATATATATATATATATATATATATATATGGCATTTATTTTTAAGGGAAATAAGAATGAGTGTATATGTGCCACAGACCTAAGTATGAGAGTAATAATTCAATTTTTTAAAAAAATTTACCTATCAAATTACCACCTCATTCTTATTTTGTTGATCCATTTTTGGTGTTAAACTCTGTGATTGATGTCAAATCACATCAAATCAATAGCCAACAATACCACTGTGTGTCAAAGGCATAGGGGCAAGGCACTGAACACTGTATAAAGGGATGAATCAATATAAAAGATTGTAAATGCATTAAAAGATTTGAGATTACTTTAAACAAAAAAATCAAATTTCATAAACAACTTGTGCCTAACATACAAATAGCTAATGCTCAAACAAGCTTCATGATGAAAAAAGGCATTGTAGAAGACAAATAATTTTTTAAAAATAATTCAACATTTTTATATTAAGGTCAATAAATTAATCAATATACATTGTCTTGAATTTCTTAACTACAAAGAAAGGACATTACTGCTTTAAAATATCTTTCATTCAGTCAAAGACCTGAAACAATCTAATAACTTCTTCATACTCTTTTCCAGATAAAACAATCCAGTCTTCAAACTATTTTTACCAAAACGTTATCTTTAAACAACTGAATTGTTAGTCTTTTGTTGAAACCCAAATGTTCAGTCTCTTGAAAAAGCAATTTTGCATTTACCTGAAGGACCACCTGGGATTCTTATGAAAGTTTCACTTATTCAGGACAACTTCAGAAACATACTCTGGTCATGATATTTACCCAATATACTTAATATGTGGGTCTTCTTATGTCATCTGAGTTTGGTTTTTCATTTGCATAGTCTAAAATGGCAGGTTAAATATGGCTTTTTAAGCCCCTTCACTTCTTTTCTCTTTGTCCCAACATTTTTCTTGATGGGAAAGTGATATGAAACAACCCAGTAGAAGACCATGAAAATGTGCAGATGCACTGGAAGGTGACCGGACAGCCCTAGTCCAGTGTTGGATTATAAACTGCAACATTCCATGATTTTCCATATTCTGATTCCACATGCACTTTTAACAATCATTTATAGAATCCCAGAAAACAATATCTAGGGAGGGCCCAGCCAATGGAGCAGAGAAGGTATTCTTCTGACCTCACAAAGTTGGCCTCTATAAAAGTGTACAAAAATTTGAGTTAAAAAAGGAGAAGGGATAAAATTGACACATGGCTTCTGGCCTCTGGCCCTAATCTAGGGAAAATGTGAAGCCAGTCAGGCTACCAGCTGCTTACTCATTTTGTTGACTAGATTGTTGATTTAGCCAGCTATACTTTGTTTTCCTGAATCATGAATTCCTTGTCATATTCACTAGAATCAAGTGTCAAGTTCTCTTTTAATTTCTTAAGCTCAAAGTCATGGAGAATCTTGACTGTCATTAGCCTTTCTCGCTTAATTTTCTCCAGAACATCTTTTGGAACATCAGGGATCATCCAAGCCAACAAAAATTTAACTAAAAACACAACATGCTAGAGAAAACATTAAAAACAAAACAAAAACAAACAAACAAACAAACAAAAAAACAACACTGTTAGAATTGTCAAATGTTCAGCAGGAAGCTCTTACAAATAATTTCATTCATTCAATAAACTGTGCTCAATGTAGGAAGTACCAGGAAAATAAAGAAGATATGACCCCTGTCTGGAACTTTCCTACAAAGACCAATAGTAAACAAATAAATACATTCTAAAATATGTAATACAGAAATTGAGGTTGAACATGTCATTGAATATACTCTTTTTTCTATGCTCCCTCCTAAGAACCTAAAATACTTGAAAATAAAATTTAAAAGATATAACCAACAAAGACAAAAAGAAGGGAGGGAATAGTAATAACAGACTCCAGAGTAGAGAAAGCTTGCACTTAAACTTGCAATGGTTCCCTGGCCCTGATAGGGGTGTGGGCAGGAGGCAACCAATCGATGTGTCTCTCTCACATCAATGTTTCTCTCTGTCTCTCCCTCTCCCTTCCACTCTCTCTAAAAAAAATCAATGGAAAAATATCCTCGACTTGAGGATTAACAACAACAAAAAAAAAACACACAAAAAAACAAAAAACAAAAAAATTTATAAAGACTAGGGAATCAGAATGGTTTTGCATTTGCATTTCATAACAACACTGGCTCCAACCCAGGGAAAAACTAACAGAAAATAGAGCAATGTCTTTAAGAAAAATTCAGGATACCTAAATAAAGATAGTTAAGCATTTTTTAGGGAAAAATGACTTTCAATCTTGAATTTCATACCAATTAATCATCGATAATGAAAGAAAATATATTTTTAATATGCAAGTTTTCAAAAATTGATGGCCCATAATTTTCCTCAGCAAATTACTGAAAGATGTACTTCATTAAAATAAGCTATCAATCCAAAAAAGGGAGAAACATAGATTGCAGAAAATATAGTAATTAATACAAGAGAAGGTAAAGAGAAATCCCAAAAAGACAATGAGTCAGAGCCTGTGATAATTGCAAAAATTAGTAAGAATAATGAATAAACAAAAACAAAAATATCAAAAGATTCCTAATGCAATTTACCAGACTGAAAGGTGATGAAAAATGTAGGAATGAAAGAGTGATAAAGAAAAGATAGAGAAAGAGAGAAAGGGGGAGGGGTAACATGTGGAGGAATGCTACATAAGACTGCTCTCTTTTCTTTATTGTGCAAAATTATTTGATTTTTAAAAATTACTTACATATATAAAAAGAAAAACTGATTTGACTTTGTGTGTGCTTGCATTAGACTTTTCCATTATTGAGATTCACTGTAGAGTAAAAAAAGTGCCTTACATTGACTTGTCTCTCCCTTATTGGCTTTCATGTCTTACGATTTGTAGCTCTCAATTTGTGTCTTAGTCAAATACCACCTCTGTATTTGTTCTTTTTTACTGCATGTCTTATATCTAAAATTATACTGGAAATTCCACAAGGGAGAAACATAATATAGTGGATAGAGCAGAGGCTTGGGAGTGAGATATCTGGCATCAAAACCCAGGTTTAATATTAGCTGATTATCTTTCAACCAAATATCTTATTTTGATAAGTCTTAGAGTCATTTTACAAGGGCAAATAATAATAAAGTCTAACTTACAAGGTTATTATTATAGCCACTGCAACCAATATGTAAAGGTATTCAGTAAAATCAGTGGGTCCTCTGCCTTTTTCCTGTCCCTCAAGGGATGTAGCCATATTTTTTCTTTTCTGCCACCTTGATAGTTAGTAAGTGAATGACAGGCACTCATTATACTGAAAATATCCCTACATTGCTTTCTATGACAACAAATATATCAAAACAATTTATTTAGATAATGCTAATTCTTTTCTAAGCAGATATCTTTAGACATATATGGCTAAAGGGAGCAGAAAGACTAACTGGAATGAATGCTAAGAAGGGCTTACCTCCATGACTATGATGAAGGTCATTTTGGCAGCAAGGACGTGCCAGAATTGCATATTATGAGAGTATTTCTCTGCGTGATTAGGGGGATATCTGTGATCTCTATACCTGAAAAATATATATACAAAAAATTAGCTACAGATTCAAATAGAGAGACTTCTTAAGAGACTCTTTTAATTGACCTCAAAAGTCAAGTCACAGTAAGATAACTGCTACCCTGAAACATTTATCTTTCTTGTACAGATAAAAGTCATAAATGTTGCTCACATATAGTATAGATGTAGCAGGAGATATAAGTGAAACTTCTCTCCTGTCCTTCAAAGACAGATATTGCCATCTCCATTACCTCCCTTCCTACCCCTTAACACAGGTAGTTCTAACCATCACCCCAGAGAAACCAATTGTCTCCTGTCAATATACTCAAGGAACATTTTAATCCTCATCTTATTGTATCTTTCAAGAATAAAACTTGACATTATTAACGATTTCTATTTTCTTGGAACTCTATTTTCTTTTGGCTTATCTGACACTGCATTGTGTTGTTTGGGTTTTATTCTTTACTATCCTTCTGGAGTGTTCTTTGTGCTCAACTTTGTGAGCTCATTGTTTTCTACAAAGTTACTAGAGATTGATGTGCTTCAAGGTTTTAGTCCAGTGATGACATCATGAAATACAACACAAGTGTCCATGCTTTTAAAGGCAATGCTATGATTCCTCTAGATGCAAATATGAAACATAACAATGCTTCTGTCTACCTGTGATGCAATATTTTGCTGTTTCTTTGCTGGAAACCAAAATGAAGTAATTGGCTTAAGAATTAAGGGGCCTTAATGTTTATTCTATCAATATATTATAGTATAGTATAATATAGTATAATATAATATAATATAGTATAGTATAGTATAGTATAGTATAGTATAGTATAGTATAGTATAATATAATATATATAAAACCCTAATATGCAAATAGACTGAACGGCGGAACAACCGAACAATCAAACAACTGGTTGCTATGACGTGCACCAGGAGGTGCGTGTGGAACATGGCAGGCATTGGCAGTAGGCAGAAGAGTGTGCAACATGGTGGGCATCGGCCGTGGTGGGATGGTGGAGCAGGTGAGTGGGGGCGCCAGACCAAGGCAGGGTGGCGGTTGCTGTCATTGGGGCGAGCCTCTGGTGGTTACTGAAAATTCTTTGCTCCATGTGCTGCAGTCCTGCCAGGCACTCACACCAGCTGCTTGCGCCTGCTGCTGGTGCCCAGCTCCAGCCCCAATCACTCGGCACTGTCAGCGGGTGTGAGCTGTGGCTGCCAGCCCCAATCGCCCATCAGGACTTTTCCTCCTCCCCCTGCTCCTGAGGGGCGATTGGGGCAGCAGCCCCACACACTGATGGTGCTGGCCCCGCTTGCACCCACTGCTGGTGCCAGTCCCAATTGCTCTGCACCATCAGCGGGTGTGAGCAGGGCTGGCACCATCAGCACATGGGAGCAGCGGTGGCGGGAGCAGAGCTGCCAGCAGACAGGGGACTGAGGACTGTGGCGGGAAGGGCTGGGCGGGGGTGCAGAGGATGGGCTGAGACCCACCCCTGTGCCCACCTCAGCCTCACAGCCCACAGTTCCTTTCAAGGTGCATGAATTTGTGCACTGGGCCCCTAGTATGGTATGGTATGGTATGGTACGGTATAATGTATAATATAATATTAATATAATACAATATATTATAAACATATTATATATAAATCTTTTAATTCTAGAGTAAAAAGATACTACACAGGATAAGTGTAGAAAGAGTAGGTTTACAAATCCAATTTCATTCACTGCATAAAAAAGAACCCTTTACATAGGATGGATGGTGAAGCAATCATATTTCTACTTCTTTTTTAGTTTATCTTATTTTGAGGACATATAATTAAGGTCAAGTAGATTAGATTCACCTATAACATAATTATATATATATACACACACACACATATATATACATACATACACACACACACACACACACACACACTGAGTGGCCAGATTATTATGACCACCTGACGTTTGCAGCAAATTAGCTATAATTTCATGCTGAAGTTGCTACAGGGCCAGACCATTATAAATAGGGAAGCAGGTTGCTTACCACGACAGTAGAAGTGATTTTTTTCTTTTTAAAAAAATATATATTTTATTGATTTTTTACAGAGAGGAAGGGAGAGAGATAGTTAGAAACATAGAAACATCGATGAGAGAGAAACATCGATCAGCTGCCTCCTGCACACCTCCTACTGGGGATGTGCCCGCAACCAAGGTGCATGCCCTTGACTGGAATCGAACCTGGAACCTTTCAGTCCGCAAGCCAACGCTCTATCCACTGAGCCAAACCGGTCAGGGCAGAAGTGATTTTTTCCCCTCAATATATGGGTAAACAATGCAATTTAACAGCCTTTGAATGTGGGATATATATTATTATGAGTGGCCAGATTATTATGACCACCTGACGTTCGTAGGTAAATTAGCCATACACTGCATCATATGGGATATGGAAGCTGAAGGACTGTTTGAACACCTTTGCTGTCTGCAGTTATCAAGATAAAACTCCTCCAATTCGCACAGAAACACAAGGATTGGACAGTCGAGCATTGGAAAAAAGTCATGTGGTCCAATGAATCACGTTTCCAGTTGCATCACGCAGATGGCAGAGTGAGAATTTGGTGGAAACAGCATGAAAGCATGCACCCCACATGCATGTGTACAACCCTTCAAGCTGGTGGGGGCAGTGTTATGGTTTGGGGTATGTTTTCCTGGCATGATTTGGGCCCTTTAATTCGTGCAGAACAACGTCTGAATAGCACAACATACCTAAGTATCTTTGCTGATCAAGTTCATCCTATCATGATGGTGTATCCCAATGGAGATGGCTTCTTCCAACAAGATAATGCGCCATGCCACGGTGCTCGTATTATGCAGGAGTGCTTTCAAGAACATGAGGGAGACGTTACCTTGCTTAGTTGGCCCCCACAATCACCAGATCTCAATCCAATTGAGCATTAGTGGGATGAAGTTAAAAGAGCCATCAGGCAGCTGGTTCTACAACCATCAAATCTCACAGAACTGGACAGTGCTATTCATCAGGCATGGGGTCAGATTCCTCACATCACCTTTCAACATCTTGTGGAGTCAATGCCAAGAAGAATCGCCGCAGTATTGAAGGCAAAATGTGGCCCAACGAAGTACTACTGATGGGGTGGTCATAATAATCTGGCCACTCATAATAGTATAGATCCCACGTTCAAAGGCTGTTAAATCACATTGTTTACCCATATCTACAGAAAAAAAAATCACTTCTACTGTCGTGACAAACAACCTGCTTCCCTATTTATAATGGTCTGGCCCTGTAGCAACTTCAGCGTGAAATTATAGCTAATTTGCCTACAAACGTCAGGTGGTCATAATAATCTGGCCACTCAGTGTGTGTGTGTGTGTGTGTGTGTGTGTGTATCTATATATCTATATATCTATATATCTATATCTAATCTATATCTATATCTATATCTATATCTATATCTATATATAACATCTTGGAATCAAAGGGCATTTGTTGGTGAGAAATCTTTCCAATAAATTTAGAAAATAAAAAGCAATTCAAAATTGACATTATCTTTACCCATAATATTTTCTTACTTTGCGACATTCTACATTTCCAAATCAGAATCATAGAATGTGTGAATTCTAAAATTATGCACTTGTTTTATCCAGGATTTTTATTGCTCCAAGGAAATCCTTTATGTTCTAAGGCATGAATGAAATATAGAACTTAGAAATACATTTAGAGGGTAAAATTAAAGTCTAAGAAAACAAGAGGAAACCTGCAAGTGATGAAGTCTCGTTTGTCCAAAGGTGCAGTGGTGTTTGGTAAATCGGCTATCAGGAATATTGACAGGCTGTTATTGACATATCCTTTCAAAGGTTCACTGCCATTTGATGAATAGGCATAGTAGTAAACTAAACGAGGAATGATGTCCGATGTAAATGCAACAATAAAAGCCTAAAGGATAAAGCAAGAGGGAGATCAGGAGCAAGCAATCTAGTTTTAACATGTCAGATTTGTTCCCTGGCTGGTGTAGCTCAGTCCCATGTGCCAAGGGTTGCTGGGTGGATTCCTGGTCAGGACACTACCTGGGTTATGAGCTTGATCCCGGTGGGGGGCATGAAGGAGGCAGCTGGTTGATGTTTCTCTCACATTGATGTTTCTCTCCCCCTCTTCCTTCCTCTCTCTCTCTCAATCAATAAAAATATTTTTAAAAATGTCTGATTTGTATTTCTCTCAGTTCCATGTGCCATATGGATGCAAAATGATTAAAATGCTATTATAAATCATGATAATATGAGTCTTTGGCCTAAAATATGAAATACCACATTTATAGTATACTAGAGGCCTGGTGCACAAAAATTTGTGCACTCGGGGAGGGTCCCTCAGCCCAGCCTGTGCCCTCTAGCAGTCTGGGACCCCTCAGGGGATGACCACCTGCTGGTTTAGGCCTGCTTCCCGGCAATCAGACATCCCTATGGCCCGGGAGCCCTTGGGGGATTTGCATGTTTCTCTTTTATTAGATTAGATTATGGTGTGTTTTTTCTTGCCATCATTAACCAGATTAACTGTTGGTTATGTGTTAAAGTTCTATTCCTGCTAAGTCTAGAAGCAGCCTCAGAATCCTTCTCACCATTCATCTTAAGTCTGATGCTTAGTTAATCAGAATTAATACCTGAGGTGAAGCCTCTTACTGCAGATGTATCCCAGAATGTATGGCATACTCTCTGCTTATGATCCAGCTAATAATACATTGCCTCAATCATGTTGATTGAGGTCATTTTTCCCCTTGCAGTTTCTAGTAGTAGATTACCAACTACTGCCTAGGAAGTAAAATTGACTGTCTCCATGTAGATCGCAAAATAAGGCATTTTTCTCATCAATAAAATTTCATTATTTCAGCATGAGTAATTTTGTCAACAACGTTTTGAGGCAGTAACAGTTTATAACAAATTGAGTTGAATTATTGTTTCAGGTACTGTGCTGTGTCATACACAGATTTCATTTTATCTTTGCAACAACTCTATACAGTAGGTACTATAATGACACAGATGAGGACACTGAGGTATAGAGAGATCAGGTAACTTGACCAGTAAAACCCAAAAGTGGCTGAGTCTCATTTCAAATCCATGAGCCTTGTTATTTAACCATTACACTCCACTCAGTATTGTGCTAGAGCCTGCTCTTACTGGCTCACAAATTTTCAGGAATTTTGTAAGCTGGTTGTTAAACATGTTCATTATTCAAAATTAAATTATATAACCTTAAAAGTGAATAAATTACATTAAAACCAAAGGAAACACATACTCTAAATTCATCACTCCTCAATTATTTACTACACTTTACTGTTCTGACTCTTGACATTATTTATATCTTTTGGGTCTTTCTGGTAGAATATAATAGTGTATTACTGCATGTTTCTCCTCACCTCTGCATTTAGTGGCATCACATTAGCAGCTGAAATCAGCCTTGGATGGAGAATTTATGCCACAGAAATTGGCCGACAGTATAAATCAGAGTTTTGTTTTCTTTGATTGAGAGCCAGTTGTTAAACATTTATCGGCATAACACTGACCACATTGGTGGTGGTGGTCTTGTCAGAATGTGTTAGATTATGCAGATGAAAATCTATTTAAACAGATTTGATGTAGATATTTTCAAAGATGGAAGAATTGTCCCTGTCAACTATGTTAGTTGATTCATATCTTAACTAATTGTCATCATTGCAAACTTTTCTGTCCCCATATAGATTGCTGGATATAATATGTCATGCCCTGTCCCTGCCCCCTCCCTTTGTAGCCTTTGTTACCTTACGAACTCTAGTTTTCCATTTATATGTTTAAGTACCAACCTTACTGGCTTAAAAATGTAAGCTTTTAACACTGCTCTGTTCCTTATCCTTCCGATGAAAAATGGAGTTGGGTTGCGGCACAGGAGAGAAATTCAGAAGGGGAATATTGAAGTAATGACCCCAGTAGAAGAAGAGGGAACCTATTTCCCGGGCCACAGGCGCTGGCACCCTGGACCACAGGGCTGGCAGCTTCTCCAGGTGGCTACAGCCTGGGACCTTGGGGCGGATGGCTTGTCCATCTCCTGGGCCGCAGCCAGCTGCAGGCGCTGGCGCTTGGACCGCAGGTGGGTGGCTTCTCTGTGTCCCCTGTGATGTAGTGTGGGCAGCTTCTCCGGCTGGCTGCAGCCTGGGATCACGGGGCAGGTGGCTTCTTTGTCTCCTAGGCTGCAGCCAGCCTCAGGCGCTAGAGCCAGACTTCTCTGTCTCCCCTGACTTCTGCATCTCCAATAGGCCTGGAGCAGCCAGAGCCAGGATGCTTGCATGGTAGCTGTGGCTGCAACTCAAGTATCCTGGCTCTGGCCTCCGCCATCGTTGTTGGGTTAATGTGCATATCTCTGGATCGGTTTGTGGGCGTGGCTTGGGTGTAGCGAAGGTATGGTCAATTTGCATGTTTGTCTATTATTAGGTAAGATAATTAGTAGTCCAAGATGACATAGCTAGAAAGTGACTAAGTTAAAATCGAACCTAAGTGTACCTGTCTCCAAAAACATGCTCTTTCCACCCTGCCTTTCTATTTCCTACATTTCTCATTGTTGCACAGGGCAGTTCCAGTGACCTTAAACAAAATCACTTGGCTGGATCAACTCTCAACTCCCAAAGCTAGGACAGTGTTTGGGTATGTGTGTATGTGTGTGCGCATATGCGTGTGCATGTGGAGGAGTTTGGAGGGGAGGGAATGGAGAGATAGACAACCATGAGCTAGTACAGTGATGGTGAACCTTTTGAGCTCGGCGTGTCAGCATTTTGAAAAACCCTAACTTAACTCTGGTGCCGTGTCACATATAGAAATTTTTTGATATTTGCAACCATAGTAAAACAAAGACTTATATTTTTGATATTTATTTTATATATTTAAATGCCATTTAACAAAGAAAAATCAACCAAAAAAATGAGTTCGTGTGTCACCTCTGACACGCATGTCATAGGTTTGCCATCACTGACCTAGTAAATTTCCCACAGTTAAATGCAATTAATTTCAGTATTTTATTTCATAGGGAAGCTATTTTTCCATCTTTTCCTAAGCTCTAAATGGTATAAATAACATGATTCTTTTAGGGTTGATAAGTCACTTTAAACCACCTGGCTCTATATCTACATTTCTAGTGGTAGATTTTTTTTAATGATCTACATTAATAAAAGACAAACATGCAAATTGACCATACATTTGCTACACCTTAAGCCATGCCCACCAGCAAATCAGAGCGACTATATGCAAATTAACCCAACCAAGATGGCGGCCGGCAGCCACGGAGCTGGAGGAAGCAGGAGGCTTGGTTGCCCCAATGATGGAGGAAGCCAAGCTTCCCGCTTGTTGTGGCCTGGCTGTGAGCTCCACTCAAAGCAACAAAGTTTCAATTATAGAAGGTAAATAAACCCCAGAATAAAAAAAGAAAAAAGAAAAAAATAAGAGGCTGGGAGCTTCCGTCTCCAGGGGGGCTTGGCCAGCCTGAAAATGGCCCTCAGCCCCTCACCCAGACTGGCCAGGCAACAAATCCAAATTGGATAACTGTAGGGAAAAAGGAAAAATTTGTAAACTCATTATTATGGAGGAGAAAAGAGGGAACACTCTGCCCAACACCTGCCACTTCTGGCATTTTGGAAGGATCTATACCAGCAAAGTACTCCAGGTCTCTTTCCATCTGCCCACTTCCTCCTCCTTACAAGAAGCATAGTGATGTATTTGCTTGCTAAAATAGAAAGGAGAAATAGGGCATGCACAGCTCAGTTCTGTCCTTGCTGTTTCTTTTGAGATCTGCTTATCTAAAGAAAGTATCTATTCTTCTTAGATAAGATATTCTTCTTAAAACACAGTCTTTTATTATCCTATATAATAAAAGGATAATATGCAAACTGACCGAACAGCAGAATGACCAGAATGCCTGCGGCCCCTTGCCTTGCCTGGCCCACCCCCAATGGCCCCCATCAGGCAGGCTGGCTGGACCCCACCAGTGCACAAATTCATACACCGGGCCTCTAGTAGTCTATAGTTAGGCCTTATGCTGGTCTAGACTTTACATTGGTACAGCCATAGTAGTGGGGTAATCAAGTTTTTCTGTCTTGCTAATCTGAGTACTTTTTCAGATCAGGGATATGACCGATTCATTTGTATGCTTCCAATAGCCAGCATATGCTGGGTATATAAGAGTACTCAACTATAAGCCTTATAAATTAACTAGAGACCTGGTGCACAAAATTCATGCACAGATAGGGTCCCTAGGTGTGGCCAGTGATGAAGGCTAAACTGTGGGGTGACCAGTGGGATGATCAGGAGGCCCCCACTGGCACCCGCCTTGGCTGGCCTGGCACCACCCGCTCACTGGCCCCAACCCCTGCTGCCACAGCCACTGGTCGCCTACCTCTGCAGGGCAACCAGCGGGGCAATTGGGGGGACCCCCACTGGCACCTGCCTTGGCTGGTCTGGGGCCTCTGGGCTGGGGGCAGCTCCTGTGTTGAGTGTCTGCCCCCTGATGGTCAGTGCGTGTCACAGTGACCAGTCGTTCCACAAATTGTTTTGCCATTTGGTTGATTTGCATTTTAGGCTTTTATTATATAGGATGCTTTATTTAAGCTTTGAAGAAGCTAATGGATAAAAAGTCAGCATAAAACAAGCTATTTGAGAATAAACCATAAAGTGAATTTTCTAAAGCATTGGAAGTATATATGAATTATAAGTGGGCAGAGGAAATATACATTTTCTGGAAAAAAGTATTAATTAAAGTCCTGATTCTTTGTGATATCTTGACATCTTTCTAAATAAGTTTTACTCTCCTCACTTAGTAAGCTGGCTTCTCTCCCCATTTTTGTTATTTTGTTTCCAACAATGCTTGGAATAAAAAAAAATGCAGTTGGCAGTCTGGGCTTCCCACATGAATAATAATAATAATAAAAAAGATATACAGGAATGGCTCTGAATTGAAGGAGGAAATAATCTTCCACTAGTCCTCTATTTTTACATGAATCTTGAGTGTTTCTGGATTTCAGCTTTTCTTTTAAAATTTCCTCATGAAAATCAGCCTTGTCATCTACTAACCCAAGTGAACAAATTGCCTCATTCCTGCCTCCTCTGAACCAAGAAATATGAAATTAAGAGGAAGTAGTATGTAGAAATAGCTTACATTTTCCATGTTAAAACTCCAGATCTTTACTTAAACTCTTTGCGACAGTAGAAAATTAAACTATTGATGTTTCAGTATCCTCTAAAATAAAATGCAGTGAATAATGACTACTCTGTAAGATGTTTCAAGATTAGAGATAATGTATGTAAAATATCCAAATAAATTAATTGTAGCACAATAAATGGGAGTCAATCTTATGAAACCTTGATTTTATATTTTAATCAGTGGTAATCTCTGATGCATTTACATACAAATTCATTTGAAACTTATATAATTAAAAATTATAGCCTTATCACCCCATAAAGTAAACACTACCTAACTCTGGAGCCAGCTACATAGAGACTTCTTTTTATTTGTCCTCAAGTTACCTATTTCAATCCAGGTATCATAGATATGTACTATAGTGGGGAATCAGTAACAAATTCAGGCCATCTCATTCATTCCACTGTGATTTTATAGGTCTTAAGAATAAGTTAAAAATTGTCTAACTTAATTTCACCAGAGAAGCAAAGAAATGTCACTGAAAGGAAGCACTCTAAGAAGCTATATAGGCAGTCTCTCCATCATTCTCTCTCCTAAAATGTTACCTCAAGATCTCTTCTCTGTTCAATCCTTAGAATATTTTATGAATTTATTGTGTTCAATTTGGGTTTCCCTGAATAACTGCTTTTAACTTTCTTCTTTTCAGCATGAATAAGGGAAAAAATAAATGTTATGTCATTCACTGGAAATGTTTTTCAACTTATTCTCTCTCAGCTGCCACAGAGGCAAACAAAGGGAGAAACAGCTATGTAGGCTAATTTGAGACAGTCTTTAAAAAGTAATCTTTATTTTATTTTGTTCAATATTAACATTCCATTAATAGAAAAATATATCTAAGATTGGTGTTTTAAAACTAAACTTCACTCTACATTCTGTTTGGTGGGTAAAGTCAATGTTGAGCCAATCTTTTCTATACTCATCCACCTATCTTCTCATCCATTGTCCAATGATTTATTGAACACCTACTATGTCCAAAGCAGAAAGAAATACTAAGAGATGAAAAAACACTTATTTTACTCAGCCATATTCTATGTTTCAAAACAAGTGGTAGAAAATTACCTGTTTCTAAGTATTCATAGAATAGTCCAAGACTTCCAAAAGTCTCAAGGTCATGATCCTGCTCCCATCGACTGTATAACTTTTCAGAGTTGGTCCGAGCTTTTCGGCGTCTCCACCAATTCAGAGCCAACCTGTTGGAAGTGAGAGAAGTAAATACATGAAATAGTGTTTTAAAAGGGTTATAGAATCAGATCTAGAAATTGGAAGTAAGAAAGGTTAAGTAATTTAAGATCACAGGGCAAGTAGAGCTAAAGTCCAAATCAAAATCTAGTGTTCTTTTCATAACATGTGCCAGAGTCAAAAGTTCTTTATTGGAGTGATTAAGAAAACGTAATAACCCTGAATCTTCCCATGGAAATACATTTAACCAGAGACAGTTCTGTTAAAGAGCACGTGGAGAAGAGGATCACCATAGGGCTGTTTTTTTCTATTTAATTTACTAACTTTTTTCTTTGTTTGTATATATCTTTTTATTTTTTAAATTTATCTTTATTGTTGAAAGTACTTCAGATAGCCTCCTTTTTCCCTCCATGTACTCTTTCCACCCTGCACCCACCCCTCCCAGGCCTTCACCACACTATTAACTTAAACATTTGCTAAAAAAAAAAGCACCATGATAATAGAAGAATTTCATCTTCTTCCAGAGAAAATTTCTCATGATTACTTAAATCAAGCAAAAACTTCTAAGTCATACATATGGATAAATGGCTTCTTGAATGTTTCCGAAGATCTGTTTCCCATTCATTATGATAGTCAACTGGATTGTCAATTCTATAAGGGCTATGCATATATGCATATAAATTCCCAGGTTAATCTCTCCCCACTCTCCCCACCCCCACCTTCCCTCTGAGATTCATCAGTCTGTTCTTTATGTTGTAATGATATTAAGAAGAACACTCAAGAAAGTAAGGAACTGCTTAAAATAGAAAATGCATGACAACAAAAACACAGAGGCTTATCTAATCCATGAAAATAAATGAAATAATCCTAAGCAAAATATGACCTAAATTCCATATTATACAAAAAATAAAATGTATCCTATCTAATAATAGAGAAACATGGTAATTAGCCGTACCTCCGCTACCCTTCCCATTGGCTAATCAGGGCGATATGCAAATTAACTGCCAGCCAAGATGGTGGCCGGCAGCCAGGCACTGAAGCGAACAGGAGGCTTGCTTGCTCCAGTGACAGAGGAAGCCAACGTTCCCCGCCTGCGGCTGCCGGCCTCTGAGCTTGCAGTTTGAAACATTGTTACAAATATAGAAGCTAAACAAAACCCCAGAAACCTCCTTTCAG